CTCTGTCTCCTGCTGGGAGCTCCAAGAATCTGCTTTCCTGTACTCCCTGTCCGTCGATCTCCGGCAGGAGTCCAAGATGGTGGATCCATGCTGTGTTAGCTGATAGGGGACCTCTGCTCGTAACTCTCCCTGCTTTCTGTTCTGTGTCGGTTTCTGATGCTTGGTTGAGTTCTTTATCTCTTCATTTGATGCTTAGTGTTCCAGGATTGATGTTTGTCTCTGTTTTAGTTTTTCAAGTCTTTGCTGTGGGGGGACGGCATGGTGCTTCTGTCTATAGCGCCATGTTGGCTCTGCCTCAACACAGAATGTTTTAAAATCGCTCATTACCCAGAGGCAATCACCACTGACACTCATGATTCCTTCCAGTTTTCCTCATTTAACTGTTTATGTATGTGCATTCACAAAATATACAGTGCCAATATCTCAAATGTAAACAATTTTTTAAATAAAATTAGTATAATAAATTATATTCTTTTTTTCCCCATGTGTTATAATAAATACTGTCCTTGCCTGCAGTGCAGACACAAGAAGTCCTTTCAGTAAGTATTGAAAGAAACTTTGAAATAGAAAAATCAGTGAAAGGTCATGCAAATATAAAATAATGAATAGTGAGCAAAAGAATTCTTACCTTTTCACAGATAACATAAGGAATCATTTGGTTTTACAGACAGCAATTTGCTAGGATACCCAAATATTTTGTGTAAAGCATGGCATACATAAAACATTAACAAAACCCCATAAAGCTTAGAAGTAAAAATATTTGATTCAATAACTTTGCTTAATAGATAGGAGTTTATTATACAATAAAACCTGTGAGTGGTGGAACCTGTATAAGGTGGAAACATGTCAGAAAAGGAAAATGCAAATATTTTTCATTAAAACGAGTGATAGAAAAGTGGTAAGACTGCACCCTGTCAAAGGTAGAAAACTTGCGAGACCTGGAAAAACAAGGCAGTCCTGTTGAGTTCTGGCTGTCACAGATTTCACTGTAAATCTTTTACAGCAATTTAAAATGGAACCAGGATGCAGCCACCTTGATGATGTTTCAGAATTATTCCAGCCACAGTGGGCTGTCCCCTCCTACAGCCAGCAGGACAGTCTGTGGCAAACTCTAAACATTTTATTTCAGGCAAAATCTTTGCTCATTGTTTGCAATCAACATTGTGTCATTTTAAATATTCCATTTCACCTCTTCAGAGAGACAATCATGGGGCAGTCCTACCCAAGATTCTCAGCATTACAACATTATGTTCCAACAAGCATGCTTTCTTGTGTGTTGACTTTGTTATTTTTAACCACTGGAGTAAATGATGTATTATCTGAGACTGTCCCAGGCACCATATTTGTCCATAACATTTTTTGACTCTCTGCCACTTTGGGAACACTTATTTTGAGCGTTCTATTTTGCATCAAACGTCTCAGTGGTTCTCTCTTTCTCTCATATACACACACTCACGTACACTCACATACACAGTCTCACACACACATACACACTATCTCTCTCACATACACACTTTCTCTCTCACACACATTCACACTGTCTCTCACACACATGCTCTCTCACGCAGTCTCTTTCTCACATACGTACTCTCTCACATGTACACTTTTTTCTCTTTTACACACACACTGTCTCTTACATACACATGCTGTCACACACACCCTCACACATACACTCTGTCTCTCTGACACACACATACTCTCTCACACACACACTGTCTCTCACTCACATACTCATATACACTCTGTCTCTCACACACTGCCTCTCATGCACAGTCTCTCTTGTTCACACACACACTCACACACACATATACACATTCTGTCTCTCACACACATGCATACTCTCTCTCACA